TCAGTTTAGGCTCCGCGCATAGGCACCAGCTCGCCACCACTGGCTGGCACGCCTGTGGACTGCTGCCATCTACCTGGTGGAACCACAGCTGTGCCAGGCCCCCTGTACTGCCAACGGAGAGTCCCATTCAGCCAGAGCCATGGGGCTCCCTAGGGGTGGTGGGGACTAAGCCCACTGTCGCTCGGGAAATTGAGGGTGAGTAGTGGAGAATGTGGGGGCAGCGTGGGAGTCATGGATATGCAGGACAGCAGCGCCCCCAATAGAGAGCATTGTATGGGCCCTGTATGGGGTTGTCCTGCTCATATTTGAAAACACAGGGCAGAGTCATGAGCCAATTCCTCCATGGGTCGGATGTCTATGCTGGCTTATGCAACTGGGCTCTGGCCCCATTGACTCCAAGGCCAATTGACACCAACCAGGGATCTGGCCATGGGTTCAGTTAGTGCCAGAGAAAGCCCAGGGCTGGCCTGTGTTATGGCTCAATTGTGGTGTAGACATTGGCTGGGGATGGATACCAGGCTCCAGGACAGGGACTCTAGGAAGTGGAAGGACACAGTCCAGTTGCAGGGTCTAATTGCAATGGAGAAATGCCAGTGACTCCAAGGGTGAGCCAGGGATCAGGAAATCAGGTATTTTCACACCATGGCGCGCTCCCCCTTTCCTGGGTCTCGGACCTGAGCCTCTATGCCTGGAGCAGACATGTACACCAGGGCAAAGCGAGCGCAAAACACTTCAGGGCCAGGGCAAGAAGCATTTGGTGCCGACTTTCTAGCAGTGCCAGCAGGGGCATGAGGGGGCAGAGCAGGAGTAAATTGCATCCCACCATGGTTGGTTGTGGAGGGGTCAATTTTGCTGTGCACCAGGTGATGAAATTCTGTATAACCTGCCTCCCCTCCTCTGGTCACTGTCCTATGTGGAAGTGTCATGGTTTTTAGTCTCCCTCTGCAGCAGAGCCATGCCAAAACCTCCTTTGTACAGCTGGGGGAAACTGAGGCACACGGCAGCTAAATGACTTGCTTAAAGGCATGGAAGGAGTCTGTGGTGGAGTCTGACTGAATCTGGGTCTTCTAAGTCCCCGGCTGGCACCTCGAACGATGGGCCATCTTGCCTGTCTGGCAAAAAAAGCAGGAAAGGGGACATGGCTGTGGGGCTGCTGGGAGGGGTAAGCACACGCGTGAGCGCATGCACATGCACATGCACACACATGTGCCCCACCCAGCTCTTTCTCAAGAGCTCATTCACCGCTACTCTGAAAATACAGTTGATGAGGCAAACCCCAGAGCCCTCTGCCATCTCTGCCACCAACCCCACATCCCCCTCCATGGAGCAGCTCCCCCACCCCAACCCCTCTGCCCCTCCTTCCCCCCCGCTTCCCCTCCTGGCTAACAGCTGCAGGCTCAGCTAGTCCCTT